ATATTAATGGAGCAACAGATTTTGTGTGAAAATAAATCATTCAAGTTGTTTATTTTGTTTAAAAATTGTATAAATGTATGAGGTGGCAAGAGGGGCCTTTTACCCCACACACGGGGTAAAAGGCTCACCAGAATGGGGTAAAAGGCACACTGTATTTATACAAATACTTCAGCTAAAATAATGGTTTTTTTTAAGTCTAAGTTAATACTTGTTCAAAACAATTACTTTAGCAAAGTTTGTACTATTTTCTGCTTATTTTGAAAAATAAAAGTATAAATTTTTTTTCCAATAAATATGCTGTCATTAAAATGTGTTAATATAAAAAATATGTTTAAAAATACAGAAACAAAATTGTTTTAATAAGTAAAGATTCTGAGAGTATTGAAGGAGATCCAATAATAATTTAATATATATTTACAGTAGTAACCGCAAATTATATTTTATTATATGATATGATTAATATCATGTTTTTAAATATGATGGTTTCATTCTAAACATGGCCCCAACAGCAGGGGGCTAAATTACCATACTTTTACATATTCTTTCGTTATTTTAAAACTGTTGCTTTAATTATCTAAAACAAAACAAAATAATAAAGAAGACCTTTGTCTCAAAATATAAGCATTAATTTTAGGGATTCTCATTTGCTACTTAAATCTACAACATTTTTAAAAACATAAAATATTAGGTCTCTTTCCCGAAATTCAGCCTTGGTGCAGAATTTCAGCCACTACGAGCCAGTCCCACAATGAGCTTTCCTTAGGATGTGCCATTTCTGTGTCTGTAGCTTTAAATGCTAATGAGGAGGAGAGAGACGGGGCAACTGCCATGCTTCGCTCGTTTGCAAGCCATGATGTCTCTCGAGGAAAAAAAATATTGCGCTCGCCTCGCAGTGTAGTAGCTCATTTTCTCATGGGCGGGCCAAATTCTCTGGGCGGGCAAAGCAGAGAAAGGGGAGGTAACCTTTCCCGGTATGACTACATAAAGGGAAGATTCCAGATTGGGCCATCTGAGCTTTAATTTTCTCAAAGGCGAAGCAGGATACCCAGGGCTCGGTTTACACATATCGCCATTTCTAGCCACTGGGGGACCATAGGCAGACTAGGGGAACTCATTTTAATGTTAAAAAACCTCATAAAGTGACATTTTCATGCCATGGGACCTTTAAAGCATTGAATAATAAATATATTGTATAAAGAAAATGTGCAAATAGACTGAATAGTCTTCACTGTATAAATTCAATATACATTCATTCTTATTTATTTTACAAAAGTGATTCAGTCAAGGACAGTAAGTAATTTTATTTCTGATGTTTGATTTACGTTATTGACACAAATGGTAACAGCAGCTATATTAGGCTGCATTATAGTTCACCCAAAAATGAAAATTCTGTTGATGTTCTAAACCTGTATGAGCATCCTTCATGCTGTTGAACATAAAATAATATATTTGGAACAATATTGGTAACTAAACAGTTGCTGGGCCCTCACTACTTCTATATATGAAAAAAAAACACTATTGGAATCATTTGGGAGCAGAAACTGGTTATACGATCATTCTTCAAAATATCTTCTTTTATGTTGAGGAGGAAAAGGAAATTCATAGAGGC